ACCATTTATCTCAGGATCCATCACACCATGTCTGACCACTTCCTGAGATGAACCAATGGAGATAAAACTGCTAATTTGAGTCTCAAACCAGATCAATGCCCTTGGATTAGTTGAGTGCAGAGTTAGGGAAACTTCTCCCAGAGCCTGACTCTGATTCACTCTTCAAACTCTGAATCACTTGGTTTTAGCTCAGCCACCAACTGCAGCTAAGAGCAAAATGACCATGTGTAGTTCCCCCAGGGAAATACTCTCCAGCTGCCTTCCCACAAGAGAGGAACTGAGATTGCTCCTGCTGTGCTGGCTCTGTGGGAAGCAGTGGGTGGCAGAGGCAAAGAACAGCCAGCCCCAGGACAGGATGGCTTTTTGAGTTTTAATTTGGTTTTTTTTTTTACAGGCTGAAGGGAGACCTTCATACTCAGTGAAATTCAAGGGATGTGAGCTCTGGATTGGGCCTCTGGGGCATGGTAACCCTTACAGCAGCCAATTTAACTGGGAAAGGAAGGAAGGGTTGGTGCTAAGCAGATCACTTTTCCTTGAGCAATGGCAGTGAAAAGCTGGGCAGGGATAGATCCCATATGAGTCCAGTCCAGGACCATGAAGAGGTTCAGCTCAAGACAAGCTCTGTCAGAGCTGTTCCACAACTACTCTGTCTCCAGCTCCCAGTGTCCCAGATTTTCTGCAGCCCTTACAATCAATTGGATGGTCACAGCTGGGAGCTGAAAAGAAGCTTCTTAAATTCTCCAAGCTCCAGCTTTGAGGGCACTGAAAACAAGCCATGCCTGGGTGGAACAATTCACTGAAGCCATAAATGTCTTTTCAGCAGCACATGCAGGCAGTGTGGTCTGCTTGTTGCTGTTGTGTTGTAGGACATCTTACACTTCCTGGCTAGGGCTCTGTTCTAACATCACAGAATCATTTTGGAGATTTTCACTAGCTGAGCTCTGCTACAGGAGTGCAATGTGGCCTCCAACCTGACATGAAGATTGGGTCAGCCCTGTTTATTGAGGGTTTGTCTGGACCACTCCCACTAAGGATCTCGTGGATCTCACCTATGGAGCTGAAACAAATCTGCTTTGTCTTTAAAAAAGGGGCAGGGCTAAACAAACTACTTTTGTGATCCACTTGCACGCCAGACACTCAGCTCCTCTAAAACTGAGGATCATTAGAAACACTCTGCAAATAGCCTTTGTCACATTAAAAACTGAGCACTTGTAAGATAATAATTGAATTGAATGAATAACAACTAGTGAAACTTGAGGATAAGTATTAAAACTGACTAAAAGCTATCCAAGCTGAAGAGAATTAAAAAAACATGAAACTCAGCTACAAGCCTAATGATAATGCTTCACAACTGTTCCTAAATCATCTTTAAAATATATATTTTTAAAAGGGCATTTTTAAAATTACAGATTATTTTTTAAATAAAAAATGTTAGGAAAAAGGAAAATAAATAGGCCCTTGTAAGGATTCACTTAAACTCTACATGGAAAATAACTCTGGACTCCCACTTCCCTCCAGTATGGTCTGTAAGAAATCCCCAATCACTTTTTTGCCCATTTAAGCAGGTTCTCTCTCCCTGTGCCTCCTGGACACTGTGTGCTCTTCCAGCATTAAGGACAGCCAAATGCAATTTAGCCAAATTCACACCTTTCACTCCATAATCTGTGATCTCTCTGTCAGCCTTCTGTGTGGGGATGGAGGGCCACAAAAGGTCAAATGCACCATTTGGTAACACACTCTCCCTTTTCTGGGCTTCCTTCAGCCTTTTGTTCTCCTCACAGTGGCAGCTCCCAGCCCTGAGACCCCATTTACACCGTGAGCACACGGCACCTCTCAGTCAGGACATGGCTGGAGCTCCTTATAGGCACAAAAGCCTCCATTTAGCACAAATCCAATTTTAAATGCAAAAGCAGTTTCTTAAAAACAACAGAAAAAAAGGCAGCAAGCCATCAAGGTAGCAGAGTGTGATGGATATTAGCCATGCACTTAAGTGTCCTGCTGAATCAGGGCCATGGCCTATCGATTACGACGCTACATTAATGACGTAATTTTCTCAGAAATGATGGTGGAGTCTGGATCTTGGCCAAGGTTAGCCAACACGTACAGCAAAAACAGTCTCAACAACAGCCTGGATCTACTCCCATGCCTCTGAACTGACAGCACACCTGTCCATGCCCTGTGGGTCCAGCGTGGTGGGTCCCTGGGGTTGGCAGCACCTTATCTTGCCAGGGCAGATCTGAGCTGGGAGATTTGTGCTGATTGCAGGTGGACTGTGCAGAGGTTTACAGCTGGGCCTGTTGTGGCTTAACCCAGCAGGCAGCTGAGCACCACACAGCTGCTCACTCAGTGCCCCCACAGGTGGATGTGGGAGAGAATTAGGGAAAAAAGCCATTCCCCTTGTTCTGTCACTACATGCTCCTGTAAAAATTGCCTCTCCATCTTTCTTATTATCAACATTATTCTCCTTCTAATTCCAAACCACAACACTGTACAAGCTATTAGGAAGAAAATGAGCTCTACCCCAGCTGAAACCTAGACACGAGTCAGTAAAAGTGACCTAATTAATAAAACTTAATTAACTAGCATTAATCAAATAAAATCCATTAGCAATCACTCTAAGAGCTGTACTGAAAGGTTAGAAAGTCCATGCAAGATTCAAACTCCAGCTCCAGCACCATCCCCACTGTCTATATTCAATACCAGCAATGCCTTAACATTCCAGGCCAGTTCCCCACATGGAGTGCATCTCCAGACTGCAGTGTGGTGCCTGCCAAGCACCAGGCATGGCTCTGCCCTCACTGTTCCAGACAGAGCTGTGCACAGAAGGAGCAGCCATCATGCAGAAGATGTTGTTTTAGTTCTGCAGTTCTCAGCTGCAAAGGGCTCATCCAAACCATAGGCACTGCCAGCTTGCTGTGTGGTCCCTATCTTTGCATCCTTTTGGCCAACACCAGGAATGTACAGAGCCAGGACATCTCATCTCATTCATCCTGAGCACCATCAACACTGCTAACAGGCTTTGTGGCCTCTTCACCTTCCTGCAGCAGTGCTGCTAGGGGCAAGCCTGGAGTTCCAGCAGCTCATCCTGAGCCAGTCCTGGGAAGCTGCACTGTGTGTGTTGGTGCAGCTGCCCTAAAGCACCTGAGTCATACACTGCTGCTCTCCTCAATGTACAGAAGATTTCCCCTCTCCTCCCTTTTGCATCTTCACCCTGAATTTTAAAGCCTCTCAGCTTTCTGTCACTCAAGCCTATTGCCAGGTGAGGTTTCATTTCCAACATGCAGGGACAGCAACCTCTCCCACTTTCCCCAGGAGCAGCAGGGATTTCGGCAGGAATTAACGCCGGGATCCAGGCAAGGGACAGCCAGAGCAGGGTGCCAGCCGTGCCCTTGCCAGCAGCTTCCCCATCCGCAGCTGTGCCCTGGGCTGGAGCCGGGTCACGCCCAGCTGCGCTCCCGAGTTAATGGTGCGAGAGAGCGGGCGGGTGTGACTCCGAAGGAAGGGGAGAATGTGCTTCCAGCTTTTCCATAACAGTTAATCATTAACACCTTTCATGGTCGCAGAAGGTGCTGGCCTCCTTACAGCTCCCCTTATCAGCCATAATTATTTCCTGATCTGCTCTCGCCTGACTACCTGGCAGACTTATGCACAACACCCCTGAATCACCTGACTGCATTTATTGCCCTATATCCCAAGCCAAATGGGTCTCTGCTGTGTCAGCTGCAATATTTACAGCATTACAGTTATTTCTCCCTGCCCATGCCCAAACAAAAGTTGTTCTGCCCCCCACCTCACTCTTTACACCATCCCTCTTCCTGTGACAAAACAGAGCAGTCATCTAAATACCTCAGCACTCCTTTCTCCTCTTCTTCCACAAAAGCAACAGCTCCTCTTGCATATAGCCCAGGGGCTACTGCTGCTATATCCCTAAGTCCACTTTAAGTTTTCAACCATTTTAATTCTATAGATATTGCCTCAGTATCTAAATTAATACATTTCTATTTACACTTCTGTCTTTTTTCTTTTATTTTTTATTTTCTGACAAAATAGCTCATGTCCACAGAGGAGAGAGATGTAAATCCAAGGGATAGATGTAAATGTGTCACACATATGGTGTATTATCTGCTTCGGGAGGAGAGTTCAGAGTCACTGGCTTAACTCTCTTCTTGAATAAAAATGGATAGGATACCCTGACCATCGAGGTTGGTCTGAACAAATGCAGCCCTATATGAGTGAAATGGTGGAAATTGCCAAGAGTTGGAGGATGGCTCATATTTAGGCAAATAAAAGAAACTTAAATAAAAGCAAACACTGGAAATGCAGCCCTTACTGCAGCTCTGATGAGCCAACCTATTCTCAGTGAAGAATCTGCTGTGTACTCTGTAGGTAGCACATGCCCATGTAACACAATTGCTGTCCAAGAGTCTTATATCAAAACACTTACAAAAGGGAACAAAGGTATCCAGGCACAAAGGGGAAGTGTGGAGCAATGGGAACATGATAATTCAATATTAAATTCACTTTTTAAGTGAGACAATAGCATCTATAAAAAAGGAATAATAATGCAATGAAGGGGGATTTCATATTCATTACCAAAGTTTAGGAAAAAAACTTTTTTAGGGAAATTCAAAACCCCAAAAGGAGCAGGGGATGTACACAGAACAAACCCAGGGCCAGATTACACTGGTGTTATTACCAGCACCAGTGCCTGACACATGGCTGACTCAACATCCAGGAGGTTACAAGCCATTCTGAAACACTTGCAATCTACAACTCAAATCAACACTTCCTCTTTCTTTCTAGCACAGCATTCACATAACCCAGCCAGGAACACAGGGAGATCTCAAACATGACCAAGAATTTGGAAATGTTTTAGTCTGCTTTTCTTGATTGCTGGAGCCTGGCCACTTTCAAGGCTGACCAAGCAGATGTGCCTCATGATCCAAGAGCATAAATAACACACTGGCAAAGTATAAAATCAGAAATTGTTCAGAACTTACCTGCATGTGCAGTTCTCCACACTGTGAGCACACGCTGCTTCCTTCTGCTCTCAGCCATCATTATTTTGCTTGGTCTTGCTGCTGGTAGTGCTTTAGAAATTCCAGCTTGGGGCTCAGGAATGGTCACAAACATGTGGGGATCTCAAAGGATCACTGAAAGGCTGAGGCAAAGGAAGGCAAAGCCTTCCTTTTTAAAAGCCACCATGAGAAGATGATCCTGAGATTCGCCTAAGTCGTGACTTATGGGGGGGAACGTCTCACACCCCCTCTTAGCAAGGACTGACAAGGCATGAAGAAGAATGGATTGACCAGTGATTTTTGAAGCTCCTTTCTCCATGTGGGAGGATGCCTCAGCTCAGACAAGAGGTGGCACAGGGAGGAGACCAAGGTCTGTAGAGATAAAAAGGGCAGAAAGGTGATTAAAGTAAAAGTTTTGGGATTTCTCACAAACACCTCCCCCCAGAAAAAAACCCAAAACCACCAGACCAAAACCCAAATCTAAATCCACTGCAATCACAGGATGCCCCAAAAAACATCAGGATGCTGATGCCAACAGATGCGACCACAGGCCTGAGGTTATGCCAGAGGATGGATCATACTACAAACAGATTCTCTTTTACACTCCTCCTACACATGTTACTAGTTCCAGCCAGGGAGAAGATAAGAGCTAAGGTGAGCCTCTGGCCAGAGCCTGTGCAGATGCTCCAGTGATCATGGCCTCACTACTGGGTCACAAGCTACATTCCACCCCAAGCAACACTCAGACATGCAGCTCCTGGAAAATGCTCATTTGATTTCTTGCAACCTTTTATTTCAGGCCTTCTTCCTGTTGCTTCCTTTTGGCCTATTCTTTTTCAGCATTAAAAATACACCCAATTTTAACTTACTGTGAAATACACTGCAATAAGCAGCCCTGCAAGTTGATGGCAGCTGTCAGTCCACAAATAATCCCAAAGTCCCCCTTTACTGCTGCCTGTCCATGTGCCCTGACCCATAACTAAAGAGGTCTCTTCTAGAGCGAGCCCAGAGCTCATTCCCCACGGTGCACTCTCGGCCTCTCTGCCAAGACAGCCAACACCAGTAGCTATTAAGGAAGTCACTCACTGTGACATGATGGCCTGTCCATGGGGCACACAAGTCAAACCACTCCAGCAAGAGCCACTGGAGTGAGGGAGTCACCAGGGAGCAGCACAGGGCTCACTTTTCGCTGCAGAGCACATCTGGCTTTCTCATCCATGGACACCACAGCTTGACCTGACCATTGAACTACCTAATGCAACAAGCCCTCTGTAATCAGCAGCTGTGGAAACTAATAGCATAATTCTTTCCATTTTCAATTCAGTTTGAGAGACTTTAATGAAATCTGATGAGGGACAATGTAGCCAGCCATGAATTTATGCATGAAGCACATTACCTGCACTGCAGTCATGCCTTGTGCCAATACTCCTACAAATCTGCTACCAGAGAAACTTAAACACCTTCTAAGGGTATCTGGACACTACCAGACCATGCAGGGCAAGTTATGGCTGTGTGTTCTGAGTTGCTCTTTCACTATAGTTCACCTCCCTGCTTAGTTGGCATATATGGTGTTGGACCTTCTCTGTAAAATGCCTAAAAAGGATGCTACTTCCTTGGTTTTTAGTGGATTTCTAGGCAAAGTTCCACCTCAAGCCAGAGTTAGGACCCTGATCTTTAGCAAATACTTGTATCTTCTTGTTCAGGGCTTACTGAGTTGCTTGGGACACATTCCCATGCTGCAGTTCCTGCTTTGCTGCAGGCGTAGGTGGGAGTTTGCTGGCTTTCCCGAGCCTGGAGCCTGTGCCCGCCAACCCCAGGGCATGCAGGGCCCTTCACCCCCATCAAGCTTCATCTTGCCCATCCACTGCTCAGCCTTGCCTAACCACAGTGAGCTGTTTCCTGCCTTCTGAGAAACATTTCATGGAACTGGAAAAGTTTTATCACTCTATTTTTCTGAAGGAAGTTTTGGTTCTCAGGTAAGTTTTCTTTCCTAAAATCTAAGTCACATATACATCCCCCCACAAGAAATCCCACAGTAGGGATGTAGGAAAAATTGGGTTTTGGTTAGCAAAACCTGTTGTCACACACACCCTACTATCAAAAGTCCTGAAAGGTACTGATGGAAATAGCTGCTTTTGGAGCATATGTGCCTATCAGAAAGCCTCAGCTTCCAATGACCACACACCAAAAAACCAAAAAAAAAAAAAAAAAAAAAAAAAGGCAAAACCCAAAAACCCACCCAACAAACAAAGGTTTCTGAGTTGCTTTATGTTCTGAACCAAGCCAAGAGACAGGGCTGGTGAGTGAATCACAGCAGAGTGCAGCTCACAGGCTGTGCCCCAAAGACGCTTCCAGGCGCTCCCTCCTCCCACCTGCTGGAGCTGCAGCTCCCGAGCTGTGCCCTCTGCTGAGCTGCCAGGGCCACTCTGTCCCCGGAGGGGATCCCCACCACCGGCAGGACAGATGCCACCAGTCACATCCATTCCCCGTGGCACAGCCAGGCTGTCAGCCCCGGTGACAGCTCTGCTGTGATGGCTCTCACAGCCAGTGCCCAGAGCACAGCCAGCACTGCTGAGTGTGGACAGAGGGCTGGGCCTGCCTCTGCAGTCACAGCAGCAACTTTCTTATGGTTAAAAAGCTTTCACTCCATCTTCCAGGCCTGTTTTTTCTATTTTCCCATGTTTGGTTTTTTACTTTTCACATAAAAACCAACCTATCTTTACTGCTAACTATACATGCAAAGCCCTGGGACTGGACTATGGTTCCCAGAGGAGAGCACTGGAAGGCAAAAACAGGGAGACAAACTGTATTAATATGGTTTCTGTTTTGCACAGGGGCTCCACCCTCTCTTTCAAGACCATGCATTCAGTTAATGAGAAACAGGGTATTCCCACCCCTCGTGCACAATCCCCTTTTTATTTCATACACAGAGAGGAATTAAGACATGAGACTTTCTCAACCACTTCCCACAAGAGCTGTCTCTGGCTTTGACTTTGATAATCCAGCTTGACTGATCTTTCCCTGGCAGTGGCCCTGGCGTCAGTAGCCCAAGTGATGGATGGGCTTTACAGCTCTAACAGCCTTTGGGATAGCTGGTTGAAGAGAAGTGCCTAAAACCAGCAATTTATGCTTTCTCATGTTCCTAAACCACAGGATGTTTATAGGGACCTTTTTTTCTTTAGTGGTGGCTTTGAAACAGGAGCAAAATAAAAATGGTGAGACTCTCAAGTAGCTGTGCTGCACCCACTGCTAGATGAGACTGAATTATATGACTGGGAAGCAGCAGTGGATACCCAAATTTTGCATCATCCCAAATTCCTGATGACATTGGCTCATACTCTGCTTCCTAGTTTCCCTCCTTTATCTGCATTTTAACTCCAATCTCCTGGGCCAGGTGTGACAGGAGTGAATGCTATTGTCTGCAGGTACAAAATGAAGGTAGGAGACAGTGGAAGACAAATAGCTCAGCTGCCACAAAAGACAGGGAGGCATCAATGCAGTCTCTGTGCATCCTGGAAAGATGAACACCAGTAATTTTAAGCAGTTAGAGACATCACAGTTGTCAGGTCACTGTTTCAGATAAACTCATATTCTGCTCAATCTTTCCCAAGTTATCTCTGCCATCAGAGGATCTGTGATCACTTGGGTAATGTAACAATGGCTGAAACTTTAAATGCAGTCAGATTGATAGGGCCCATTAAGATGCTCATCACAAGCTACTAAAAACCCACTGATTTATGGCGAGCAGCAGGAAAGTTTCCTCACAGGCAGTTATATTTTTCTTCTTCAGCTTTCAGAGCTGCTTTTGTAGAGGTTTCACTGTTTAAGCACTTAGAGCTTAATGAATACTCAGACAATTGTCTGATGTTAAGCTCCCTGGATGCCAGCGATGACTGAGGTTGAAGATAACTTAGAAAAGAGCCCAATAGCAAACGGTGAGCACCAAGGCTCCTACTGATAAACACAATTGCTTTGTGCCCTTCAGAGCTTAAATTCGTGACCAAGTTACCACAAAATGAATGCAAATGCACTTCAGATGACCTCAGCAACTTGCTGTGTATACAGTCTTAACCCTTAACAAAGACAGAGGGATCCAAGTGACACAGACATGCTTGCACACAGCAGCAAATGTAAGGCAGAGCCAAGCTGAACACAGCCCCAAACACCCTTCAAAGCCAGGATTAGGAAAAAAAAATGTTCATTTGCTTCTTCCACACTGATACAGTATCCAAGGCAGAAACAGAGAGTAGTCCAAGATATTTCTGTCTGACATAAATGTAATATTTAATATCTTGGAGGTGTAGACCTGTGTTGGCTCTCCTGGAGGTTAATAACCAGGAGATTCTGAGCAGACAAGCAAAAGTGAGCTGTCTCAACACCTGAGAAATGTTGGGACTGATACACAGCTGTGTTTCATCAAGGAATGTGACATCCAACCTACTTTCTCATTATAAAAGCAGCAGGACTATGTTTTTAGGAAGATGACAGTTTCAACATTCTTCATACTTGAGGACTTTCCCAACTATCACTTTACCATAGAGTAAACAGATGTACCAAGGTAAATTCAGGTAAAGAGTGACTCAGGATTTCTGAGGCATCATCAAGTGCAAACAAGACCTTTGAGATCAATTACTGGCTGCTTAAAGTAAAACAGAACTGACAGATGCACTCAGTGTCACAGGGCAGTCACCTCTTTCTCTTTAGAGGGGATTGTTCCTGGAGATCAGACCTATGAAAGTGGCATCTTCACAGAAGTGATCTGCAGCCATTTCCTCACAATACATAAGGAAGGTAACTGTTCTTGGTTGTCGCTCCATGTGCCCCATTTCCTCTGGGAATTGTCCCATTTCAACCAGGAGAAAACCACTAACATACTGAGTTCCTATGAATTTTGAGAAATCTGGGAGGCGAACAGAGCAAGAAGTCTCTGCTGGTGCCTTGCTAAGGGAAGAACTAATAAACTGAGCTTTCCCAAAGAACACCCAGAAGGATGTGTTAGAAAGCATATTTCAGGTTCTCTCTTCCTCTGTGATGCTCCCTGATGTTCTCCAAGCAGCTAAGATCCTGTCTTGTGGGACACTTCCTGCCCATGACCACTTGTGCCAGCCTTGCTGGGCTTGGCTTTTAAAGATTCTCTGCCTTTACCCAGAGCTTGGGGGCAGCTCTGGATTCATAGTTCACAGTTTGTGATTTTCTTCTCACAAGAAGCAGCAGTTCCTGAAATCCTCTACTGGCTTTCAAAGGGGACTTTTTCTCCTCATTGCTTGCAGTGCCTGACACCCTCTCAAGTCAATTTGTTCCTGTAAATGTTCAGGGACTCCTCCAGCTTCCTAGAGTGCCCTGGGCTCTCATCTGCAGGATCCCTTTGGAGC